GATCAATATGGCATGCCAAACTACGTATTCTTCTGTAGAAATCAATAGAAGGTATGAAACCACTGCAGATGAACCAGCCGTCAGTAACCCTCCTTCTCTTTATTGGTATTCCTTGGTAGCTTCCCGGCAGTAAATCATAAACAAAAAAGAATTCTATTATATAGCGACATGTGTGATGGTCTTTTTATTCAGGTGAAGGGTATATGTAAAGCTAGACGTACACGCTAGTAATAGATCAGATTCAGATTCATGCTTTTTCAAAAGTAATAAAGTGGCTGAACCTAGGTCCACAAAGTAAGAGGCTTGGAGACAGAAAGTGTTTAAACTGGATACTGGTAAGATATTTTACAATTAATCAAATTAGTAGCATTTTAGATGCTTCGGTATCATAGCACTTACGGCTTGTCTATTCAACACCAAACATCCCACCTACCACATTCGAATTAATCAGACTACCTGCTTCTCCCTGAGTAAATTTGAAATTAATATTTTGCTTTTCAAAAGTCTGAAGAGCTTTTACAAACAAAGATGTTATCTACTTGGAAAATCACACCATATTGGGAATTTAATTAACCCTGCACTTCATCAACGGCAATAGCCCGCCGCCACTGGACAAAATCTAACCAAGCTGCCTGCCCCTATAGAATGCGGTTCTTTTTATCTATAATTTATTGCTCCCCCATTACCTTCCAGGATCCATCATGCTTTTTAGACCGTCTTCCGGGTTGAAACAGCGTTGCAGTTCAGTATTTTTGTAGAGCAGAAAATGTAAAGGTATGTGCAACTTGGATCGCACATTTTTGTACGATGCCTAGACGTATACAGGAGTGTATTCAGCTGCCCAACACATTATTTTTTTTTCTTATTACTTGTCAATAACATTTCGTGAGGATGTTATCGTTTCATGCTTGATGTATTTTCCGCAATATAGTCTATTGAATTTCACCGTACTATACTGCATAAATGCCATCTCGCTAACCAACTAATAATAATTCTTAGCAAGCCAATAAACCGTTGATTAGTAGCCCGAACAATCCGTTGTGTTTCTTGTTAAGTCAGTTGGATACATGTTAAAACTTTCAACGTCACTACAAATCATCGTAATGTGGATCATAAATTCCCAGTACATCAGTTCAAGTTAAATGCAGCCGATTCACACATTATGCAATAAATATCTTTGATATATGCAATTCTCGCTTTTATTAAGGTAAGCAGACAGTTTTGAAATGCACGGATGTCACATGTAATGTGATTTTTGTGATAGCATGTCAAGTGGTCTCTACAGGCAAGGGGAAACAAGGAATAAGCAGGGAAACGATATCATTTTGTTTGAAAGACATTTCTGAGTTAAGTTTGAAGTAAAAAATTTGCATCAAAATGTTGTCAACGAAGGCTTGGCACAAATTACAAACCCATTCGTGTTGAGAGTTCAAATCTACGAAATTTAAACTGAAACAAAAGCCAGGTTAACCGCAGTATGCCCCGGCTTTGAATCCCTAAAGCCTGACAGCGATTTAAAATGTAACATTGTCACTTTCGAACTAGCTATCATTCACTTCACGTTCACTTGTAGTACTTATACAGCTTGACACAAAAGTCACCTTCAAGGTATTTTTTTTAAAAGAAACCCGCAGGAACAGTATGGGTTAAAAAACATTTGTAACGAGCACCGTCGTTCACTCATCAAAACTTAAACAAAGTCAACTTAACTTTTTTAATGGAAACACCTATTTCTGATGCCGGAAATTTGGAAAAAAAGGGCTTGAAATGACCTTGAAGGTGAGGTTCAAGGTCCAATAGAAGATCACTTGTCAAAATTTACTTAAGAACTGACATTCATAGTTATTTTTATCATTTATCCGGTAAGATTCATAGTGGTTTTTCCAGCAGCGCACATTTGACCTACATTTGACCCTTAGTGGTCGTCACGACCTTGAAGTTCAATTCGTATTTGAACATAAAATTTCCCGCTCTTTGAATTGTCGGCATCAAGAATAGGGATTTCTATAAAAAATGAATTTGACCTTGATATGACATTGAAGGTGAGGTTCAAGGTCAAATCTAAGATAACCGTTCACTCCCTCATTAAAATTTATTAAAGATTTGACCTTGATGATCTTTCTTATTACTAATCCTGTGAGATTTATAGAGGTTCTCCTAGCAACACATATTTGACCTTTAGATTGCACCCTGACCTTGAAGTTCAATTCGTATTTGAACATAAAATTTTCCACTCTTTCGATTTCCGATAACAAAGATAGGGGTTCCTTAAAAAAATGAAGTTGACCTTGGAATAACCCCGAAGGTGAGGATCAAGGTCAAATCCAAAATAACCGTTCACTCGCTCATTAAAATTTATTAAGGACTTGACCTTGAAGATATTTTTTATTGCTAATCCTGTGAGATTTATGGAGGTTCTCCTAGCAACACATATTTGACCTTTAGATGGCACCCTGATCTTGAAGTTCAATTCGTATTTGAACATAAAATTTTCCACTCTTTCGATTGCCGGTATCAAAATAGAGGTTTCATAAAAAATTAAGTTGACCTTGGAATAACCTTGAAGCTGAGGATCAAGGTCAAATCCAAGATCACCGTTCACTTGCTCGTTGGAATTTACCAAAAACTTGGTCTTGATAATTGTTATCATTGCTAATTCTATGAGATTTATAGAGGTGTTCTTAGCAGCATACATTTGATCTTCATTTGACCTTTAGTAGTCATCCGATCCTTGGACTTTGATTATGTTTCAACGTAAAAGGTTTTTTTTCGATTACCAACATCAACAATTTAAAAAAAAATAGATGTACCTTGAATGTGAAGGTAACTGTCAAATTGAAGACCTGACCTTGATCTTTTCCAAAAATATATTCCCCATGAAAATCCAGAGCCATTTGAACAGCAAAAAAATGGTGGCACGTTGGTGGTCCCCAGGGGGGAAGGAGATTGAAAATTGAATGCTCTTCAATTTAATAAAAAAAATTCAATATTGACATTTCTATATACACGAGCTGTCGCCTAAAAGTCTTGATAAACTTCATCGTATAAGATGTTTGATATTTATCTTGGCATTTCGAGTAACATTAAGTATACTCAAATTTTATAAAATAAAAATGGCGGATTTTAAATGCAAACAACTTCATGGTTTGTGTAATTTGAGGTGTCCTTAGATTCATCTTGATAATACAATTGATTCATTATTTTTAGTTCCTACAGTCGACTTGTTAGTACTTCTTAAAAATGTACATGTCTCGTTACCTCTTCTTCATTTGTGATATCGTCAGATATTTAGACAAAAAGCTGGGTGTAGTTCTTGTATCCAGCTTTAAATAAAATCAGCCACAACTTGTTGCGTGCCAAGCTAAGGTACTATGACTTCGGTCAAAAAGCGAATAGTTTTTTCAGAAGTTGGTCAATGTGCTTCTGTAAGCGTATCCAAAATAACGCCTGCTGTACCCCAAGGATCGGTTCTTGGGCCGCTAATTCTTCTTTTATACATTGCTGACTTGCCAAGAAATGTCAACGACACGGAGATACAATCCTTTGCTTCCTCCATTACTTTGATATAGATAATATCCACGATGCTCAAAAAATTTAAACTCTGATACTGAAAGGCTCTGTCAATTTTCAAAATCGTACAAACTTTCCATATTGTATCTAAATCCAGTGCAATGATTTTTGCTCTGAGCCTAGGAGTCTTATCATTGTTATCGGTCAAGATTGGTACAGAAAAAATTAATTCCTACACTACTATACTATCATCAGGTAGGTTGAGGCTTAGGTTCACAGACCATGTGAAGAGTCTCCTAAAGAAATAAAGAACTTTTCCACGTACATTTGTCTTTAAAACAGAATTATAGAGAAATGTTTTCTATACGCGTCTCCTTCTGCTATCTGGCCTCAGCGCCCGGCATAACGGTCTGCTTAATTGATCTGTTCATATTGCGTCAGTCATGTTTCACTAACGATCTATTTAGTTTCTCTATTTTCATGTAATATTTTCTTAGAGCTATTAACTTGCACTAAGCTTAATCCTTTTAACCAATAACAATGTTGTCAGTCAACCTACTTGACGCCACTTTTTACAACGATAAAGAGATGAAGTAATCATAATCAAGTTAAAGCGTTCGTCTTAGGTTGAAAATTACTCTGCAAAAATGATTCAACAGACATGATATAGCTATTAACTACAACCGCCTGCCTTCTAATTACTGTTATAATGTAATTCCATTAGCTGAACGTACTTTTCCAAAAAAAAACTCATTATTGTGGTTTTTAGCTAGAAAGCAAAAACGTGCGACTACATAAGCCGCCTGTCTATATTTAAGTACTTGGAATTAATGATCCTGCATAAAAACCCGGAATTTGTAGGAAATACTACAAGCACATTGTTAGTCCATGGATAACATACCACAGCAAAAGCATCTGTATTTCCTACATATTTTTGAGTAGCATGAGACTGTAGTTTCTCATTACTACATAGACAAAAAATATATGAAACACATCTGAAAATAAAACATTTGGATGTAACGTATAAAATAAATAGTAATACTTCTAAAGATGTAAACAATTCATGTTTTGTAGCGTACGGGTACACTCGACTACGTTAAAGTCCAAATTTTATTTTCCGAATATAAATAGAGATTCAAGCTTTTTTGATATATAGAATACACACATCGAAATAAAGAATGTTCAAATGATCGCAAGGGTTATCGCTCTCGCGCCATAAAACTAAACAGCGCGACTCTTGCTAACATTGCCGGAAATTCTAGAAACTATATAATACCCCTTCACTGGAATTGGAGCCGTTGATATGATTACTATTGACTGATAAAAGTTCTATTCAAATCAATCGACGCACCCAGACATAAATAATCTAAAGATTGATTGCTAATGTCTAGGTTCGACCTGTATCTTGACTCTCGCACAAATAATTGTTTCCAAGGGGATCTCAGCCCTCAATAATCGTCTATAAAACAGACTGTATACGTTTCCCTTACCTTTGGAAACACCTCGTCGAGTACGTCCACGCTCGAATCCAGCCCCTCTGACCAAACTTCTGAACCGAGCTGTCGGAAGTTCCCGCTCAGGAACTTGTTTGTTATATAGATCTGTAGGATAACATGCAAGAAGTTCAAAACTTCGATTCCGATCAACTTGTATGACCAGAAGTTGTTTATATAGACTCGTTTGAGGAAGAACTCGCGAAGTTTCTTGATCTTTTCTTCCCTGCAACAAACAGATTGAATCAAAATATATTCTGTTTGTATACGCGCAATTTCTGACTGAAATCTATTGGCAAATAGTAGAAAAAAAATCGTGATTTTAAGACATCAAGGATTGGTGAGAGGAACTTACTTGTCTTTCTTTGAAGGGATTGTCTTTCCACCTGACTGTAGTTCTTTTTCTTGCAGAGCGAACGCTGCCAACTTCAGGCCATCAACGATGTATCTTATCCTACCACCTGAAAGAAAAAATATACAAAGCTTAACCATCTACATCTACATCATCCGCAGTAGATACAGAAACCGGTGATCATTACATTATATCTAAAATCCTATACCTTCATCTACGAGCCCCTTCCCACTTTAGTTGGCCCAACTATTGAAATCTTAGTTTTTTTCTTATCAAACACAAATAATAAAAATTTAGCAGGGTGTTATAGGTTTAAAATATTAACAATGAGTATTTTGATAATATATAGTAGAAAACACCAACTTTATCACTCCCTAATCAAATTTGCAGCATAAAAATAACACATGTTACAATTACAGCATATCAAACTATTTTCATTTCGATGCAAAATAAGTCTATAACGCATAGCTGGCTGTGAAAAATAAAAGCCATGACAATTGTTTTTATTAATCACAGCTGTCAAAATACGTTTAAAATAGTTTTGGGTAGTTAAGGTATTCAAAATGGGTAGAGGAAAGATTATTAGTGACTTATCGCAGTACAGTGTGAGAAATATTGTTAGAAGATATAACGTAACTGGTTCAGTTAATATTAAGGCACGATATGTGAGTAAAAATAATATCACAAATGCCGACCGAAGAGCATTAAGAAGAATAATCGTGAAAAACAGGCGTGCCAATTATTTACAATTAAGTGCTCTGTGGAGTGACGCTGTTGGAAGGAGAATTTCGAGGTCCACAACTCACAGAGAGGAATACAAACTGGGATTTAGCACTTGCAAGGTAAGTTTTCTTATAACAAAGTGAAGTAAAAACCCTAAAGTTGCACAACTTGTTTATAGGCTAAAAAAATGCCACTATTAACTCCACTGCAAAAGAAAAATCGGCTTTGATGGGCTAAAGAACATAGACAATGGACACCTCAACAATGGTGTGCAATACAATGGAGTGGTGAGGCCCGATTCGAAGTTTGTGTTGGTGACAGTCGCAGTAGAGTTATTCGCAAAAAAAATGAAGCATTCCATGTTGACTGTCTGAAGAGAAAAGTGAAATTTCCAGCATCCATTATGGTCTGGGGCAGTATGTCATCAAAAGAAGTAGGAAAACTTAATTTTATTGATGGAAATGTGGATACAAACAAATATTTGGCAATTTTAGAAGAATCGCTCTTACCAGTGATGGAAGAATGTTTGACATCCGGCCAAGATTTTGTATTTCAGCAAGATGGTGCTGCGTGCCATACCTCAAAAAAGGCTATAAAATGGATGGAAGAAAATAATGTACCACTTTTGAAATGGGTTTCTAGCAGTCCAGATCTGTCACCTATTGAAACTTTGTGGTACGAGATGAAAAAGGTTCTACGACAACATCCTGCTCGTACAATCACCGAACTGAGACAAAAGCTTCAAGAAATATGGGATTGTTTTACACCAATTTTTTTTTAAAACTTGGTTAACACTATGCCCCAAAGAATTTCAGCCGTAATAAAAAATAAAGGTGATGTTACCCAATGGTAATCTTTCAATTGCTGCTTTGTTAACTTCGCGCATTTATTCGCACATTGTTTATTTGTAAAGATGTTCTATAAGTTATAGGTCTAAGTGATATCAAATATGTATTTTTTACGACTAGAGTGTATCTAAAATGTTTTTGAGAATATAAAGTAAATAGTTTCGTCATGTTTAGTTTATAAAGGCATATTTTGGTACAAATCTTGAAGTGGGCCAACTGAAGTGGGAAGGGGCTCGTACATCTCTATTCATTTGTGCTTAATCTACCTCACTGTGAAGGTATTCAAAATTGTTTGTTAATCCGATTGCCTGTTTTGTGAACAATTCAGGACTAATTTCAATTAACGGATTTTTGTATGCATAACTAAAGATTACAAAAAGAAGAAAAAGTGCCGAGGGACCCTATTATTATAACAACGGGAAATGATCTTCCCAATTTGGTTTCTCCGTTTCTATAAAGCCAGAAGCTTGACAAAAATTTCAAGTTTGTTGTTTTCAAATAGCAGAAGCAGCTGCAATTTTATAACAATCAAATACGGTCGTAAATTTTGATCAATCACTGTGTGTAATTACAACGTAATGATTATCAAAAATTAGGTAGTAGTATTAGGAATAAAAAATAACAAAAAACCTCATCAAATCGTACTGCTATTTATGCCAAGCTCAAGGTTTCTTAGGGTTTTTAAATAATGGAAATATATTTTTTCTGTTAAAATACCTTTCGAACAAGCGTTTTTTTACAAATCGACGTTTTCTTATTATGGATATAGTAACATTCATTGCTAATTTTATACATGCAACGCATTGGAGTCATTGAACGTTTCGCCTAAGTACGAGGGTTGTTTCAGAAATCAGGTTCGTAACTTTGCTCCGATCCCAACAAGAAGCGCCTGTTGAATTTTGATAAGGACTTGAAAGATATTTACTATCACAGAAGTATACGGTGATAGAATGTTGAAAGCATTTTTGTCATATCAGGATCCGAACAATATGGACATGTTTACTTATTTAGTGAATTTTCTGTGTGGGTTCCATTTTTTTCATTGCATTATAATAATAATAATAATGCCTTTATTAACTGCAGTGAGGCGAAGTTTAGCCAGACTCTTACACTCAACCCCACAACAGGAAAAAAAAATACTTACACACATAAACAAAATAATAACATACAAAAAAAATACAATTCATAAGAATGACAACAATGATTGCACGAGATAAATGCAGATAGCATTGCGAGAGTTTTAAATTTGAAACAAAAATAGTAGTCAAACAAAAAAAAAACAAAAAAAAAATCACATGAGCACAAGAAAAAATGAACTAAATGGACTCCAGCAGCTGACTCTTTATTAATTTTTTGAAAGAAACAACCTGTTTGGATCGATATCCACTGTTGACTGCATTGTAATGCTTGACAGCATTATAGGTGTAACTTCTTTCAAAGACCGAGGTATTGTGAGGAGGCATGTTAAAATTAGCATTAAATCTAAGAGCTCTGGTAACAAAACTACCTCGGTGAACTAATTTGCTAGCGAGGTAAGCTGGTCTATTAGATAATAGAACTTTATGCGTGAAGACGGTCAAAAGATATAAAAATAACTTATCAATTCGCAATCAGTTGAGTTCTTTGATTTTATCTGAGACGCGACTAAACTTGCGCAATCCAAAAATAAACCTACAACAGCTGTTCTGAATTTTCTGAAGTTTCCTTTTGTGGACGTAGTCTAAACATGGGTAATACAGAACAAGAGAGTAAGAAATGACAGACAACACAAGACTTTCAGCGAGCTTTTTTCGGGTTTTAAAATTCAAGATGTATCGATTGGAGTAGAGGAGTTTCAAACGCAAATATGTTACTCTAGATAAGAAAGAGACATGCCGATCGAATCTCATATTTAAATCAAGGGTAACACCGAGATTCTTGGCGTAATCCACAAAAGGGATGAGTGTCTCATCCAAAAAAACACAAATCCTCTGCTTCATTTCACGGTAGGAGTTCTTCGAACAGTACAACGTTGCAGTAGTTTTATTGGGATTGATCTTCAAGCAGTGTTTGTTACAGTAATCACCGATGTTAGCCAAATCTAAATTAACTTTAAAAGAAACTTCATCAACCTTTGATGGATCGAAACCAAACACTAACTGAGTATCATCTGCATAAGTTTGCATACTACAGTGGACTAAACAGTCTTGCAGATTGATCGTATAAATCAGATATAGTAAGGGATCTAATACTGAGCCCTGAGGAACTCCTGAAGGAACTGGCTCAGAGGAGGAAATTCCCTGATCAGTTTTCACTGTTTGTTGACGATTTAGCAAGTATGACTCAAAGAACCTTAGAACTATATCTGACATTCCATAATGAGATAACTTACTCAGTAGTATCTGGTGATTGACCATATCAAAGGCTTTTGAGAAATCTAACAGTACCAAGACGGTGTTGATGTGATTATCTAAATTGTGAATGATGGAATCAGTAAGATGTAATAAAGACGAAGTAGTGCTGTAACCAGCTCTGAAACCTGACTGATGTAGAGGAAATAAGTGGTTTTGTTCGAAAAACTCCACTAGTTGTGAGTAGACAGCTCTTTCGAGTATTTTTGATAGAACGCATAATAAGGTAATTGGCCTGAGATCCGAATATTGTTCTGGATGATTAGTTTTAGCTATTGGAATAATAATACCATTTTTCCAACTGGTAGGAAAGTAACCTGTTTCGAGACAGACATTAATAATGTGAGTTATATTGTCTATGGTATCAGGCAAACATAAGCAAACCATATTTGAAGTTAGACCATCAGAGCCACATGCCGTAGACTTAATGTGAGAGATTATATTGACGATGTCTTGCTGAGTAAGGAGTTTAAAAGCAAACAGAGGTGCATCCGGTGTATGGCGTCTATCGCTATAATAGTTAGAGACACTATCAATCAAATTTGTATCAGCTGCACCTGTCTGGAAAATTGAAAGAAAATAATTATTTAAAATGTTAGGCTCAAGGAGACTGGGAGGTATCGCATCATGTTTCTGGGCTACCACATTCATCCTCCTCAGGTGTTTCCAAGCTTGACTAGAGTTAAGATTCCGGAAACGTGACATATATGCTTTTTTCTCTCTTCTAAGCGATGCAAGGGCATAATTTCTCAAATCTTTGTAGCTGGCCCAATTCTGATCAGATCTGTTATGCTGATAGACAGCGAATGCCTCATCTCTGAGTTGAAAAATCATTTTCAAGTTAGGAGTGAGCCAGGGCGCAGCAGGTTTTGTGACACGTACTGTACGTAGCGGAGCGTAGAGATCGAATAGATAAAGAAGACGGCCAGTAAAAATAGAGACTTTAATATCCACATCATTCACGAAATAAATGTCATTAAGCTGCATTGATGGAATCTGCGTCTTAAAACTTTGAATATCAATGCTATTAAGATTTCTATGTGTTACAAATTTAGGCTCTATTTTTTTATAACAAACGGAAATATCACAGTATGTGAGCCGATGATCACTAATTGAGTCTGCATTGAGTGTCCCTGACCTTTTGACGATAGTATTGTCACTAACAAATATTGGATCAAGTAATGTGGAACTGAAGGCTGTAACACGTGTAGGCTCATCAATGACTTGAATGAAATTGAATGAATCAAAGCAGCTGCTGAGGATGTTGTTATGAGCAAGCAAGTCGACATTCATATCGCCCAAGAATATAATGTCATATTGGGGAGTGAAAAATGAGATAAGATTTTCTAAACACTGGATGGCTTGATGTATAGAGCAATGTGGTGGCCTATATATAACAACAATTAACATACTGGACCCGTGCAGTTTAAATTTATAGCATAACATTTCAAGAGGATTTATAAAGTCATCGAGCTCAACTGGGATAAGATTAGTGATAATATCTAATTTAACATAGAGACCGATGCCACCCCCTCTGCTCCCACGGTCCTTACGGAAGAAATTATACCCAAGTATACTGACTACAGTGCTGTCAATACTGGAATGCAGCCATGTTTCAGTGACTGCTACAACATCAAACTTATATTGAACAAGAGAGGCAAAATCATTAAAGTGAGCTGTTAGAGAATGCACATTTAAGTGACATAGTTTCAAGACACTTTTTATAGTGTTAGCCATAATCCACCCTTTCTTTTAGAGTTTGAACATAATTGAGAAACACAGGACAGTTTGGAAAATTAGCCGAATGATCAACTGGTAGAATCTTCTTGTATACCTTGTTATGGTTCAGGCAATTTACGCATTGTAGGGCGCTCGAGTTACACTCCTTGATTTTATGATTTCGCGTACACCTTGGGCAGGACAGATCAGCTTTACAAGATGCTTCAGAATGACCAAACGAACAGCACTTGAAACACTTTAATATGCGAAAGTGATCAGAGATAGGTGACTTTTTCCAACCAATATATAAAAATCATGCCTTGAGTTTGCAGACGCGCTAATTTCACTTCACCTTCGGGTTACTGACATAACGTCCCCATCTTGTAATATCTCTGACCCCACAGCATCGTCGCCAATGATTGGTATGGAGCAGGAAGAGACTTGAATGGAATATGGAATGGAATTCAGTCGTGTTCAGCGATGAGTAGCGAACGGAGGAGCTTCAACACATTTAACATAAGGTCGCTTATCTCAGCTAGTTTGCGAACTTTCGAGTAAAAATTTTAGTCACCTCCTAATTAGAAGTAGACCCAAGACTTGCAAAAGTATGCTCAAAATTACAGTATAGTGTATTCAGTCTTTTATACAATTTTTGGTTTGAAACGGTACCTTCCATTTTCTTCCATAGCAGATGCGTCAAGTAGAAGCAAATAGCCTGCCCGAACAGTACGAATGGTACCCACTGGTAGTACGCGTGCCTTTTGACTGGTTCCGTAGAATTGATCCCATACGGTCCAACTCCTGGATGAGCTAGTCCTCCCGAGTCTATCAGTTTCGCATCCAAATGTTTGACCTAAAATATATGAGATTTCGATTTCTAAGGGGAAATGATTTTAAAAAGCTGGACAGTATAGATGACCCATGCTCTGCAAACCTATGAAAGGAAGAACTAGTAAGGTTGTGAGGCATATTATATTCCTATTTTTTTACCGTTAAGTCCACCCTCTAGTTTGAATTTAGTGGTAAAAACTGAAGAAGCAGTTGATTATAATCAGATCTTTCATTTCATTTCTTTATTGCGAGCTTATACATATCAAAGTATAAGTTAAAATTCACAAAACGATTTGTTGGGAAGAAGAACATTATCACAAAAACTGTAAAATGATATTATGAATTTAAAATAAATACAAAGCAGACAAGCACACCACAACACCATTCCGAAAAGTTATTACTTAAAAATTCCTCGATGTTATAAAAAGCTTTCTTGATCAGGTACGCCTTAATTCTATACTTAAATGAGAAACCAGAAACACAGCTTTTCAGACTCCCTATCGAATAAATGGTCAAGGATAGTTCCCAGACAACAAACATTCTACTTTGTCTATGGTATTGACGTTATGATCACACAAACTTATTATCATGGACCGTGTCTTTGAACCATTAAGTGTCAGTTTGTTTGCTAGAAAACAATTTTCTAACTTCATTATATTCGCAGAGAAAAGTAGATCAATCGATTTGCTACTACAGAACACTATTGTGTCATCGGCAAACAGTATAAGGTTTGTGTTTGTTTTACAATAAGGAAGGTCATTTATGTATACTAAGTGACATATAACTCCGAACACCCAGTTTAAATGGTTTTATTTTAATAAAATTTTTGTATAAGTACTTAATGAAGCATAATAAGTAAATGATAAAAATTTCAAAATGATTGCACTGCTTTAAAGCCCTTTGACCTTTAATAATGTGTGGATGCACCCTGATGTGCTACGCATTCTCCAACGCGCCTAGGCATGCTTCTGATCAGGTGGTCAATGTCCTCCTGTGGTATCTCATTCCAGGCAACCACCAACTCCTCTCGAAGTGCTTCTAGAGTCTGAGGAGGACGTTGCAAATTGAGCAATCTCCTACCCATCATATCCCACACGTGCTCAATTGAGGATAAGTCGGGAGATCTTGGTGGCCATGGTAACAATGTGACATCATTATGTTGAAAGAAGTCTATTGTGACTCTTGCAACATGTGGTCGGGCATAATCTTATTGGATCTGCCAGGGTGTCAAGATAGGGTAAAAGATGGGGTTCTAGAACTTCGTGGATATAACGCTGCGCGTTCATGTTACCTCTGATGAAGATTAAAGGTGACCTGGAACCATAAGCTATAGCACCCCAAACCATAACTCCAACAGTGTGATGAACATGTCTTTCAACAAAAAACTGTGGATTCCTCCTTTCACCACGTCCCCTTCTAACCCTGGCACGACCATCGTGCATGCCTAAACAAAATCGAGACTCGTCTCGAGTTAAAGGGAGGACCCAGTGTGGCCGGTATGAAAACAAGCCAAAACTTCTCATTCGCCGGTAAACACTTCGCATGCCAATAGGTCTTCCGTGTTCTGCAAACCATTCATTTGCAATGGACCTAGTAGTGGAGAAACGGTCCCTTAAGGCCAATAACCTTAGGCGGCGATCTTCACGGTCTGTTGTTCTACGGTTGCTCTTTGTGTACGGCCTTCTCGAAGCCATGCCTGACAACACCTAACCACAGTGTCTACACTTCTTTGCACTCTAACTGCAATTGCCCGAAAAGAAAGTCCAGCTTCCCGAAGTCCCACTATACGGCCCCTATCAAACTCATTAAGTTGACGAAATCGTACAGGTCTCCGTACTCTAGGCATCGTAACCGATCGTAAAGGATGTCAAGAACCAAATTCCGCCAACGTTGATTCTTTACTGCGGCTGAAATATTCATTTTTAGAGCGTTAGTGAATTAAAAAAAAAAGCAGTATAAAAACCGGAATGTCCAACTGATAAGGCTGAACATTTTTTCACTTGTTATTTACAGTAAGATAAATACATTCACCAACTGTTATTAAAATAAAACCATTTAAACTGGGTGTTCGGATTTATATGTCACTTAGTATATATTAAGAATAAAAATGGACCCAGTACAGAACCATGTGGGACGCCATCTGAAACTGTTATTGTACTGGAGGTAGTGTTGTTGAAGGTTACAAGCTGTTATCTGTTGCTCAAATAAGATGCTTACCAATACACTATGACCTAGAATCAATGCAAAAGTAATAATTTAGCAGTAATCAGTAATTTCGCTTATTCGTGCAAATGAGTGACAGTGAATTCTTTTCAGTTATGGAAAATAGATTTTGTATGTTCGCTGTTTTCATGTATTAACTAAGGTTTCTCCATTTTCGTGAAATGATGTATATGTATAGTAAAATGGAAAAACAAATTTCTCTCCATGTCATGTTTTTACGTCAAATAGCTGATAATAATCCACACCAACATTCAAACTAGACGGACACTCTGGAGAGGAGAGTTACAAAATAAGGGCACTCTCTACAAAGGGCAGAAAGCTGCGAGGTAAATTCGTGATTCCAATTTCCATGTTTCTTCCATGGAAACTGCCGTCCAGCTTATACGAAACTAATATTGATGGACAGCTAGAAAAAATATTAACAGAGGTGCTGAAAGAGAGAGCTCGTGAAGTTATAGAGTTATCGCGCATGCCGTTCTCTATGAGACTGCTTTTTTCAAACCTCTATTTCAAGTTTATCTGCCATCTCTTTAGTCATATTCACGTAGGGCTGGAAAATAAAACTTATTTTAAATGATGATGAAGATTTAAGGAAATAGAACCTAACTAACAAATGAGACATATTTGGCAATGGCCAATAACGCCAAAAACATAGTAACAATATCTGTACCGGAAAGTTGACGCTCTACGACAGTGGTCGCCAACCTTATCAGTGTGTTGAGCTACTTTTATAATTATATACGCAGTTGTATGCGACATACATGTGTTTATTTTACTAATACTAATGCATACTAATAAACTTAATTAAACTAATCATTTCTGCTAGTTCTTTGTGTCTCTCCTTAAGGCGGATCCGACGCAGTGAGTTTCAAGCCATTTACAAGGGTTCAGCTGCTTCAAAACTGACACTCGATTTTTCAATATTTTTGAATGAAATTCATACGGTATGTTGAGAATATAACTGCCCAGGGTGCTATAGGAGCCGTTTTTGAAATTTTGTTTTTGCACAAGTTTTATGATGTGTTGAAGTGCGCACTTCTTCTGTTCAACTTAGCCATTTTTTTTAAAAAGAACCTAGCGAAAAAAATGAAAAAGTGGCTCTATAGCACCCTGTGGGGTTTTATTTTCAGCACTCTGTGAAAATTTCATCCAAAAATATCAAAAAATAAAGCGTCAATTTGGAAGCGCGCAAACCTCTACAAATCATATTTTGGACGAATTTTGTCTACTGTTTCGACTAAGATTTCAGATAATTTGGTGGCCCTATTTCATATAATATCGCGTAGATAAGTCGTTCTGCAAATAAGTACACATAATCGCGATCTCTGATACTCCTCGATTTTAAAGCCGTTTTACTTCCCAAGTCTTTGGCGAGAAAATATTGTAATCGCGAAAAATTTCTAAAATGAGACGTTATGTTTTTTTAAGTCATATGACATCTACATCACGAAAAACTGTATCACTCATGAACTTGGAAATAACCGCTCGGATTTTTATGAAATTTCCACATGGTGTTACTAGTATGCCAAGGCTTTGTGGTTTTAGTCCAGTGGCAACGGTGCTATAGGCAAAAAAGTAGAAGTAACAATTGCTGAAACTCCGTTTTTGACGTTACAGGGGTTTCCTTATCATTTACAGAAAAAAATGTACTGCTTAAAAAGTGGGGTTGGGGGAAGGTGATTCTAAATGTTGTATCTTTGATATCAGTGAAACACGTTCTATTATTAAGAAGCTTCTGATCCCAGTGATTACAGGAAATTTAAGTAACGAAAATCCGACGAATAATATGTTCACGATTTGAAAAAATCGGTACCTGCTGTATAGATTTGACACCAAGAGCCAACAGATCTATCTGCAACTGCCGACAATAGGGAAGAATGAATTCGTATATCACTCCAGTCAAGTGTAGGGGAATTTAGCGTGGAACTTTAAAATTATCGATATGTCAAGGAAATATGTTTTTGAGAACGATAATTTGGTAGATTTTATACCTGCATTTTTATTTGAATTTCATGACCCGTGAAATGTACCCATTTCGCCGTTCAATTTGTGTTCTGCAGTTTGTGATGTTTTTCTGGATATAAGCAGGACATAATTGCCTAAGGTGCTATCAGAGCGTTTTACAAAATTTTGTCTTTGCCCAAGAATTATGGTGGGTTGAAATGCTTACTATTTGTGCTCAACTTCTTGATATTGATATTTTAAAAAGATCCTAGTGGATAAGATCGAAAAAGTGGATCGTTAGCACCCTGTGGACTTTGCTGGAACGCTGCAAGAGTTTCATTTGGAAATAATAAAAAATGAAACGTAAGCTGTGAAGTGCAAATCGGTTTTTTGGCGAAATTCGTCTACTATTTCGTCCTGTCAATCCAACCAACGCGACGGTGCGTTCCGACTAAGAAAAAATGTATTCAAAGAATTTCATATTTTTCCTAAAATAAATTCAAGAACTCAAATTACAATTCGTTTATTCATGTGAGTAAACACAATTATGTTTACAAGGGTCATGTAGTACATGGTAACAATTAAATGAGAGTCATAAAAATATCTTATGCCGTCAAAATAAGACGAAACAGTAGTTTTTGCAAAGCAATAAACAGGTAGGCTTATACCTGGATTAAGTACATTTCTTGTCTACTGTAATAGCACAGCCGACGTCAACTACGAGCCGTGAACAAAGAAATCTGGCAACGTAGGTGGTAGTGTTACTCCCGCCGCTGCTTGCTGCATCGACGCAACTCGTGCTCAAAACGCTGAGAAAACATAACCTTTTCAATTTGTGATTTGGGAATCCAAGAGGCTGTAATTAAGAGATAAGCTTGTTTTCTAAGCTTCAAAGTGTGTGTATGTGTTCAAAGTGATCGGTGACTATAATATATGAGAAATAGACTCCAGTTGTAGTGCTTCTGTGCTTTAAAAATAAACTAAGAAGTGTGACTGTGGCTGTTCGCGCCTCAGGACGCTAAGGATTTCAACTATTGAAAACGTGCAAATTCAGGTTGTATTTTTATTTTTTCATTTATCAAGTATTTGACGCAGACAATATGCCTCGTTGTTGCTGTGTTCTTTATGCAATGCAAACTATAATTCTGCTTTGAAAACAGAAAGCTATGTTTCAACTTTTCGCTTCCCAAGTACCGAAAGTCTGAAAAACAAATGGCTTATGGCAATTCCCAGAAAAAATTGGACACCTTCATAATATTCAGCTGTGTGCAGTCGTCATTTTAGAGAATCGGATATCATCAGTACAGAAAATATAGTTTTGGCGGATGGAACAGTCCAAAATAATATACCTTTGAAATATCCAAAATTGAGAGAAAATGCTGTTCCCTCCATTTTCCCAAACTTGCCATCATATCTTTCAAAAACTGAAGCACCCAAAAGAACTGACCCAATGCAAAGAAAACAAAAATTAATTGAGAAACATGAAAAAGCTATCCAGAATTTCGATGATATGGATAAGATCAAAGACTTTCAAGAATTACATTCTTCATTTTAAAAAATTAAAGCCTCACAGGAATGGAATAATAAATTATCTGATGGAAAGCTATATTTTTATAAATTGGATTTTGAAAATGATATCTTAACTTTGAATACACAGATTATAGTTGATGGTCAGATGGAAGTTCAGGTTGTTCATAAAGGATGTAAGCTTTCTTTTAGTGACTTGAAGTGGGTTTTGCCATATGATCTCAAAATTACCAGATGGTCCCAATTAGAAAACCTGCTAAATAGGTATTTTTTCTATTTTTCTGAGAACCAACACAAAAACTCTGTTGAAGTTTGCATCATCAATGCATTGAAACAACTTGACACAGCGATTTCCATAAGTAATAATGACTCAGTTATGTTTCCATATACAAAAAATCTAGAGATTATTGCTGATCAGCTGAGACAAATTCAAAACAGGAAAAACAGATATGCATCACTTTCAATAATAATGGCTTTTACGTTTTATAACCACTCATCATCAACATATAATTTAATTAAAAGATTTTTTATTTTGCCAAGTAAGCGATACTTACAACGTATCTCCTCAAGTATAGATATATCTCCAAAAAATGATAGGAATAATGAACACTACCTTTCGAATATAGGAATTAAATTAGCTCCAAGAGAAAAAATTGTAATTTTGATGATCCATGATTTCATGAATTTATATAACATCTAGGCTGGACTATCGCTCACAAAACATTGTTGGGTATGCCTCAAATAAAAATGACATGACTAAAACTGTTTTAGCCTTCATGCTATCTTCAGCATTTGGAAACATAACAGAAATTATAAAATTACTACCAGTTTCAAATCTAACAGGTGATGAAATGACACCTTTGGTTGAACATGTGATAAATTTAGTTCAAAAATGTGGATTTGAAGTTATTTGTGTTGTTACTGATAATCACCGAATTAATAGAGCAATGTTCAGGAAATTAGCAAAGGATTCATCAGAACATTATTCTATTCCAAATCCACATAATCCTGATAAGAACATATATTTAACTTATGATGTTGTGCATATTTTCAAGAGTATCAGAAATAATTGGATTAATTTAAAAAAACCTAGACAAAACTTTTGTATATCCTAATTTTGACAATAATGATATTATTCAATATGCTAAATTTGAAAACATTCGTGCTGTATATCAATTGGAAAAAGAAGCTGTAGTTAAGAAAGCATATAAATTAAATTATAAAACATTGTATCCAAATTCATTTGAAAGACAAAATGTAAATTTTGTAGATAATTTATTCCATCACTCAACAATAGCTGCTATGAAAGAATTAAAGTTTAATGATGCTGCACACTTTTTGGAAATAATCAGGAATTGGTGGGATATTGTCAGTAATACAAGTGTAATAAAAGGAGAATTGAAGCGAAACGAATTTTGTACGCCTATTACCAATAAATATGATTATAGAGTACAATTTTTAAAAAAATTCCTGATATGGTTAGAAAAATGGCATAATCTAGAGAATAATAATGGACACCTGACACCAGAAACGTATACAGCTCAATATCAAAGCACGCTGACTCTACTTAATATAATTGAATATTCATTTAATCAATTTGACATTGAGTATGTATTGCCTGGAAAATTCACCACTGATAATTTAGAAAAACGATTTGGCAATTATAGACTTTTATGTGGCTGCAATTACAATGTGTCATATGATGAAATTTTAAATGCTGAAAAGAAAATAGCAGAAATTAAAACAAGGTTCAAAAACTGCTTAGAAACTCAAGAAAATTTTCATTTCTTGGATACCAAACAAAATCCTGAAGTTTTGAATATATTCAATGAAGTATTTGAGACAAATTATTTAGCCAAATGTGACATAGAGGATAGTACTAAGACTTATATATCTGTATATGCTTCACACCCTATCTCTAAAAGCCTAAACTGCGAGATATGCAAATCGCTAATAGTTAAAGAAAAAGGTTCATTAACAACAAATGTTTATTTTGATCATTTGCAAAGAGGAGGACTGTCAATTCCGAACAGTTATGTACCAATCATATTCTATCATATGTTTGACACACATTTCACATTTTTGAATCTATTATTAATGTAGATAGATTGGAAATTTTCTTCTTGAAAAGCAATAATAAAAAATTTAGTAGTTGACGTCGGCTGTGGTAATAGGTAGATGGAGGCGATGCTGCCAGAAGTGGATGTGTGCGATCAATAAACAAAGCACAAGACTGAACTGCGGTGTCCAATGATTTTTGTATTGCCTTTTTTATTGCGTTACTAGAAAACTCTGTTGGGTATATGATGGAGTTTACTAGAACTTTACGGCTTGTTGTCAGCCTTCTTCTACAAACTTCACCAAATCGAGACGCTGTCAACCTTATCCTCCGATGAAGGCGCGACAAAGTACATTCCTGTGATTTGGTGACTTGTTCGATCTGCAAAATGTCGTCGTCACTTTTTTTAAGTTTTCCTAAAAATTTTCGCTCCAAATCAATGTAGTTAATGTCAGGTTTTTGATTGAATTCGCCATAAAACTATTCATTTTCTTTGGAATTGCTATCCGAATTCTTAGTTATTTTTATATCAGCTTTTTTTGGTCTGAGTTTCTTTTCAAGATTCTTGCGTTTGAGTCTTTGTTCCATCTTAGCCATAAGCGAGCTTGGACTAAGCTTAGAACTCAAATGTATTTAGACCACATATACAGGCCGCTCGGTATTGTGGCTCACTACAGCTGCAGCACAACTGCCATAATATATTCGCTTACCCCAATGTATTTTGCGAAAATAGAGTTGAACTGTTCCACAGTATTGTTGACCTCATCATGAATTAAACTCACTGCATTCGTAATTAAAATGGTCGCATATGACCCTTTATTGTCCATTATCAGCCTTGATAAAAAAAGGCACTCAAGAACAATCACACCAACAACAATTCAACAACACAATATCGACGAACAGTAACAAGGGGAGAAAAATACAATGATCACTTGCTGAGTACCAAAATAAGAAACGATTTATGTCTAGATCGCTAATCGAAATCCGACTCTGTTATTATAAAAATTTACCTTGGTATGCACCCGCAGTCACCCTTTCCTCTTTTAAAGTAGCGCCGAAGACCGTCTAGGCCCAGCCCACCCTCATTTCCTTTTCACCCCCCCGTTACCTCAGCAGATGATGCTCGTGATTGTAGCAGCCCCGTTAAGTTTCTGTAATATCTACAAGAAAATCAAAATCTCTAAGAAAGATTGAATTTTCCAGTTTTAGCATAAAGTTGTATAGATTTTTATATCTCGTCTTTATTTCTAAGATGGCAGATAATGAATCTGTAGCTTCTAAAAACGCCTGTTTTATCATTTCGCCGTCTTCATAAGGTTTCTTCTTTCATGTAATCAGTTGCAGCCTCACTTTTGTCGATTGTTTTTAAAAACATTGTCTGTTGTCCAATTAAGTGATTTTTTAATTGTTTCAGTTTTTCCGTTCTAGTTGCAGAACGTAATGGGAATGATTTTTCAAAATTCGAATGTACAGTTTCATAGTGCCTCTCGATATTGCTTTTTTAGCAGCATACACAGATGTATTACATAGCGAACATACATTTTTACCTTTAACTTCTGCAAAGAATTATTTTTCTTCCCATTCCATCTTGTTACTACTACAGGACTTTATGCCGTTCAGTTTTAAGCTGAGCGCACTGTCGCTGCGTCTTGCGTATTTATTCCGTTCAAAGTAATCGCGATCGTTCTCGAACAGATCGCTCGCCGCAGTGTTGCCGCTGCTTGTGTTTGTTATGTGAATTTACAAAATGTACGGGAGCATCAATGATTTTTACACCTTTTTAAAATATGTTGTGAGCCACCGAAATTGTCTTTGCGAGCTACCGCTAGCTCGCGATCGACGGGTTGGCGACCACTGCTCTACGATATTCAAGTGTGCCCAAAACAGTGGCTAAACATAAATCTTACCACTGTGAACGTAGATGTGAAGAAGCAAAACGTGTTAATCACATGTGCCGGTACACCTCCATCAGCAATACACCTGATGTGTTCTCCAATGTACTGCCTGGAAGTCACCAGGATAGTCGAAACTAAGAAGAAGAGCACCGTAGCTTTGTAATGCATTTTGAACGCCCAGTTGTCGATCGTATACTCTTTGGGTTTGAGCTTGAAGTTGCTCTTGATCACGCCGAATGTCTGCACCAAACTCATTTTGAATGTGTATTAAAGCGCTTGGACCTGTAAAGGAAAACACTATTGTAGTCTTGAAGTGTCTACTCCCATATAGAAGTGCAGAATACACAGAATGTCATAAAAACATCGTTATTTCGTGTATCACGAAACAAGGGCAAGGCTTTCGTTTTGACATGAGATTTTTCATTTTAAATGAAAGTACTGTTATAGCATCGAGACTTGAAAAAGAAATACCGTAAAGGTAAATGTAAATCTGAAAAAGATCAGAGAGCATAGGGGGCGATTATTCAGCCCTCAAAGAAGTCATATTCTGAGTTTATCGCATATATGGAAGTTTTACATTTAAATATTTTATTATACAGGGTTTCACATTCGACCCTCACCATTGGAATCTCGGAAACTGTAAGAGGTTTACATTTAAATTGTGGAAAAGTTGCGTATTTAGGTAATTAGTAAAGTTCCAGAAAAACCTAGTTCCTAGGTAGACCTTGATATTATCAGAGTTAATTTGTTTTGTATTCCAGACGAGACCTCAAACTGAACATAGCAACAAAGTCTGGGAGACTGAGAAGAGATATAAATCGAGCAGTGAACAATGTACAGAGAGGAGTCAGGCTTTGCCTACAAAATAACTGACAACGTTTTGAACCTTTGATATGATTTACCTCTACCGCTTGTGTATTATTATTGTTATTGCCATCAGTAAAATTTTCGTTTTTTGTTCAGGTTTCACCATACCTTTTTGTTTCCTTATATACTAAGTGACATATAAATCCGAACACCCAGTTTAAATGGTTTTATTTTAGTAAAAGTTAGTGAATGTATTTATCTTACTGTAAATAACTAGTGAAAACATTTTCAGCCTTATCAGTTGGACATTCCGGTTTTTATACTGCTTTTTTTTAATTCACTAACGCTCTAAAAATTAATATTTCAGCCGCAGTAAAGAATCAACGTTGGCGGATTTTGGTTCTTGACATCCTTCGGTTACGATGCCTAGAGTACGGAGACCTGTACGATTTCGTCAACTTAGTGAGTTTGATAGGGGCCGTATAGTGGGCCTTCGGGAAGCTGGACTTTCTTTTCGGGCAATTGCAGTTAGAGTGCAAAGAAGTGTAGACACTGTGGTTAGGTGTTGTCAGGCATGGCTTCGAGAAGGCCGTACGCAAAGAGCAAGGGGCACTGGACGCCGCCGTAGAACAACAGACCGTGAAGATCGCCGCCTAAGATTATTGGCCTTAAGGGACCGTTTGTCCACTACCAGGTCCATTGCAAATGAATGGTTTGCAGAACACGGAAGACCTATTGGCATGCGAAGTGTTTACCGATGAATGAGAAGTTTTGGCTTGTTTTCATACCGGCCACACTGGGTCCTCCCTTTAACTCGAGAACACCGACGTAATCGCCTTGAGTGGTGCAGACAACGGTCACTCTGGGATCAGGAATGGAACAGTATTGTCTTTAGTGACGAGTCTTGATTTTGTTTAGGCATGCACGATGGTCGTGCCAGGGTTAGAAGGCGACGTGGTGAAAGGAGGAATCCACAGTTTTTTGTTGAAAGACATGTTCATCACACTGTTGGAGTTATGGTTTGGGGTGCTATAGCTTATGGTTCCAGGTCACCTTTAATCTTCATCAGAGGTAACATGAACGCGCAGCGTTATATCCACGAAGTTCTAGAACCCCATCTTTTACCCTATCTTGACACCCTGGCAGATTCAACTTTCCAACAAGATAATGCCCGACCACATGTTGCAAGAGTCACAATAGACTTCTTTCAACATAATAATGTCACATTGTTACCATGGCCACCAAGATCTCCCGACTTATCCCCAATTGAGCACGTGTGGGATATGATGGGTAGGAGATTGCTCAATTTGCAACGTCCTCCGCAGACTCTAGAAGCACTTCGAGAGGAGTTGGTGGTTGCCTGGAATGAGATACCACAGGAGGACATTGACCACCTGATCAGAAGCATGCCTAGGCGCGTTGGAGAATGCGTAGCACATCAGGGTGCATCCACACATTATTAAAGGTCAAAGGGCTTTAAAGCAGTGCAATCATTTTGAATTTTTTATCATTTACTTACTATGTTTGATTAAGTACTTATACAAAATTTTATTAAAATAAAACCATTTAAACTGGGTGTTCGGATTTATATGTCATTTAGTATATTTTTCATCCAACAAAAATTCGTTTCCAATTAAGGAAATACAATACTGAATTTAGGAGTAAAAAGTCCATTTAAATGTACAAAATCCCAATACAGCCTCCATATGAAAAAACAAAGTTGGAGGTGGAAATCGGAAAAAGTAATATGGAACTCAAAATTTGACTACGTAGAGGAGAATAAGTAACAATGACAACATGCAATTAATTTTGAAATCCCATCTTAAATAATGTCAGGAAAAGAATAAAAGTGGTTTTGGTATAAATGTGGTATTTGATAATTTCAAGGCCTACCCAGAAGATTCTCCTTTTTTTAATAACTAGAGTTTGGCAATGTCAATGTATGACGTATTATACGTTTTTGGAATCAGAAACTCTATATCTGTGCAAAAATCGAACACGACGTCCTTAAGAAAAACATAAAGTTGATGCTGGAGGACCAGAGACAAAACATCGTATTGAAATTCTAATTATGCCACCCTGTAGAGGAGAAAAAGAGGCATTGTTAATGTGCAATTTATTTTCAAATCCCTTTACAAATAAAGTCAGGAAAAAATTAACGATTTTGGGAAAATTCGTTTTTTTCGTCTCTCTTCGGAAGCACTTTGAATTTCGAAACTGTGGCATTTTGTTGATCATCTAAATACGCAACTTTGTCCCCATTTAAGCGACTTGGTGACCGTCGAATTTGAAACACCCTGTATATATTTTTTTTTTCAATACTCAATTCTTTATTTGTGCTAAGTACACCAGCGTGTTTACACAAGTCAAAAGAAAAAAAATAATACAAAAAGCAGTCCGACAAAAGATGTTCAAATTAAACAGAAAAGCATCAACTCATGACATTATCATTCAATAAAAGCAGATACAGCAAGTCCATATAAGTTGTAAAAACAGGAATATATACAGGGTGGCCCATCTTGTCTGATCCGGGAGCTTTTGCATCCATCAACGATGAAGCCGAAGTTTTAAATGATGCACATGGAATGTCATCCGAAATGCCTGATGACTGTCCTTGGCGTCAAAATTAAAAATATGCCGCCTCCTATCACAGTCTGAATTCTGAATGGCTAATTTTCCTTCGATTTTTCATTTACAGTTGTTATTTTACAATCGCGCAGTTACATAACGTTAACTTAATGGAACAAAACGTTTGTATGGATAAGAATGAAATTAAGTAATAGAACGTGCACCACAACAGCACGTTTTAACAAAAAACTGGTAATTGGAACTCCGAATTGCATAAAATTATATCACACAGTAGTCCAGGTAAAAACAAATTGGTTTTTTTAACGTTATTGTTTTGCTGTATTTAAAATAATTCAGCGACAAATACAATTCGCTTGGCCAACCGTTTGAAAATCACTTTGAAATAAATAAATATGTATATTGAAGGCCCATGGCATCTATCTTTTCGACAGATTCTTTACACGCTTTCTTGTTGTTGGTCTTTTCCTCCCAGTCTGCTATGCCTAGTCTTCGTATATCCACACCTTCCAGTCATTTCTCCTTTGGTCTTCTTCTTCTTCTTCCTCTATAGCCTTCTTCTCCAAACACCACTTTTCTGGCATTCGGCATTCCTTTAAAACGGCATTCTGTAAACGTGCCCTAGCCAGCGCACTCTTTGAGCTCGGGTTTTTTGTATTATACAGGATTGGTTATGCACCTCCATCAGTTCTTTGTTAGTTCACCTACTCCATTGCGTAGCATTTTTCTGTCCCAGCGTTCTAATTTCTATGCGTTTTTCTGGCTTAACACCCAAGCTTCACTCCCGTAACGTACTGATGGTCGGATAACGGACTTATACAGGGTGACAGGTAAATAGGTGTAAAACATTTTAGGAGGTGATAGTACAGCTCCTTTGCTATCAATATTCGTATATAATAAATACCATACCCTATATTCAAAGATTAAAAAGTTATGGAAGATTTAATTTATTTTAAAAAACAACCCAGATTACAGAGTAAGATAGTTGAGATAAAAAAAAGTTGGTGATTAAACATTCTTTTTTTGGTGGTTTCAGGTTATTATTTAAATAAATAATTCTCATAAATTAAAAAACATATGAAAACACTACTGAAAACGTATTTATTTTCATTTAAATGTTGAATGAAAATTTGTATTTTCAACTTTTACATTTTTCAAAAAAATCATAATAAAGAAAATGTACAAATAACTGAAAAAACTTCCTCGTTTTATTAGGTTTCTAAAATGGTATAATAACATATCAGTAAGTAAACCATTTAACAAAACGATATTACTTTGCTAGAAAGGAACGCTAAGCGCATTTCATTGTACTGAGCAGGTAAACCGAGCCTTTCATGGTTCTACCCTTTTTGTTATTTTTTGTGCCCTGTGCCGTTATTCGGCTTTAAGTATTCGGAATCTGTCGTCGCTCCTCGGAAGCAAGCTCTGCGTGTGTTATGATTTGACACAGCTGACGGATCAAGGAAAGGGAACTAACGCTTAGGTTAGTTAGTAGAATATCAACCTTTAACGCGGTAGGACGTACTTTTACTTTTTTGATCAGTTTTAATAATGGCGAGTTACCGTAACGATGAATACGCTGATATTCTGTTTTGTTATGGTTTAAGTGATGGAAATTCCGTTGAAGCCAGGCGAGAATACGAAAACCGTTTTCCGAATCGGCGAATACCGAGTCATCGAGTATTTGCTTCTGTGTACCAACGCGTCAAGGAAAGTGGACAGGTTCATGAGAGACGTCATGATGCTGGTAGACCTCGGTTGTTTGATGACGAAGATCGGGAGGCAATACTGGAATGCTACGGCAGAGACCCGACGACATCTACAGGAGTTATAGCAAAGCAGCTTGGTCTAACTCAGTGGAAAGTTTGGTTCGTTTTGCATTCGGCGAG